CCTCCCAATCATGTGATTCAGGTGTTCCAATCCCCTCCAATCATGTGATTCCGGTGTTCCAATCCCCTCCATATCATGTGATTCAGGTGTTCCAATCCCTTCCATATCATGTGATTCAGGTGCTCCAATCCCCTCCCAATCATGTGATTCAGGTGTTCCAATCCCCTCCATATCATGTGATTCAGGTGCTCCAATCCCCTCCATATCATGTGATTCAGGTGTTCCAATCCCCTCCAATCATGTGATTCCGGTGTTCCAATCCCCTCCATATCATGTGATTTAGGTGTTCCAATCCCCTCCATATCATGTGATTCAGGTGCTCCAATCCCCTCCCAATCATGTGATTCAGGTGTTCCAATCCCCTCCATATCATGTGATTCAGGTGCTCCAATCCCCTCCATATCATGTGATTCAGGTGTTCCAATCCCCTCCATATCATGTGATTCCAGTGTTCCAATCCCCCCCTCCCAATCATGTGATTCAGGTGGTCCAATCCCCTTCATATCATGTGATTCAGGTGTTCCAATCCCCTCCATATCATGTGATTCAGGTATTCCAATCCTCTCCATATCATGTGATTCAGGTGTTCCAATCCCCTCCATATCATGTGATTCAGGTGTTCCAATCCCCTCCATGGACACAGGTGTATACAATCAAGCCCCTAGGCATGCAGACGGCTTCTACAAACATTGGTGAAAGAATGGGTCGCTCTCAGGAGCTCAGTGACTCCAAGCGTGGTCCCGTGATAGGTGGCCACCTGTGCAATAAGTCCATCCGTGACATTTCCTGGCTACTAAATATTCCACGCTCAACTGTTAGTGGGATTATAACAAAGTGGAAGCAACTGGGAACAACAGCCACTCAGCCACCAAGTGGTAGGCCACGTCACATGACAGGGCGGGGTCAGCGCATGCTGAAGCGCACAGTGCGCAGAAGTCGCCAACTGTCTGCAGAGTCAATAGCTAAAGACCTCCAAACTTGGTGTGTCCTTCAGATGAGCCCAACAACAGTGCGTAGAGAGCTTCATGGAATGGGTTTCCATGGCCGAGCAGCTGCATCCAAGCCTTTCATCACCAAGTGCAATGCAAAGCATCGGATGCCGTGGTGTAAAGCACGCCGCCACTGGACCTCAGAGCAGAGGAGACATGTTCTCTGGAGGGATCAATCACGCTTCTCTGTTTGGCAATCCGATGGAAGTGTCTGGGTTCGGTGGTTGCCAGGAGAACTTACCTGACCTTGTGCCAAGTGAAAAGTTTGGTGGAGGGGGATTATGGTGTGGGGTTGTTTTTCAGGGGTTGGGCTTGGCCCCCTAGTTCCAGTGAAGGGAACTCTTAAGGCGACATTTTGGACAATTTCATGCTCCCAACTTTGTGGGAAGAGTTTGGGGAAGGCCCCTTCCTGTTCCAACATGACTGCGCAGCAGTGCACAAAGCAAGGTCCATAAAGACATGGAGGAGCCAGTTTGGGGTGGAGGAACTTGACTGTCCTGCACAGAGTCCTGACCTCAACCCCATAGAACACCTTTGGGATGAATTAGAGCGGAGACTGCGAGCCAGGCCCCCTCCCCCGACATCAGTGCCTGACCTGACAAATGTGCTTCTGGAAGAATGGTCCAACCTTCCCATAGACACCCTCCTAAACCTTGTGGACGGGCCTTCCCAGAAGAGTTGAAGCTGTTATAGCTGCAAAGGGCGGGGCCAACTCAATATTGAACCCTACGGACTAAGACTGGGGGGCCATTAAAGGTCATGTGCTTGGAAAGGGCGGGGCCAACTCAATATTGAACCCTACGGACTAAGACTGGGGGGCCATTAAAGGTCATGTGCTTGGAAAGGGCGGGGCCAACTCAATATTGAACCCTACGGACTAAGACTGGGGGGCCATTAAAGGTCATGTGCTTGGAAAGGGCGGGGCCAACTCAATATTGAACCTTACGGACTAAGACTGGGAGGCCATTAAAGGTCATGTGTGTGGAAAGGCCGGCGGCCCAATATTGAACCCTACGGACTAAGACTGGGGGGCCATTAAAGGTCATGTACGCGGAAAGGCCGGCGGCCCAATACTTTTGGCAATATGGTGTCCCATGGTTCCATGGGTGCCATTAACTCATCAACAAAGAATCATTTTGAACATTTGGATGTCCCTTCTACCTTGAACGCCGATTATGGGTTCTCAGCTTGTTTTAGCCCCTTGAAGACCAGGATGTGTATCTTGTACCTTGGTGGTCAATGGGTTAAGTATCTGTAGACTTTTACCGCTCTTGAAGAAAATCCGAATGCCAGGGATTGTGTGCTATAATGAAGTTCTTTCTTTTCTTTTCTTTTCTTTTGTGCACCGACCTCCAACCGTCTCAGACACCTCCTCCTCCCCCGGCTCATGCAAACTATCCATATATCACCGACAAATCCGGTTGACATTCAATTTTCCAGCCGACACTTGAGGAGACCACTTCTGACCGTGATTCCCAGCTATTAAATTTGCATCTTCGGGAGGAAGGAGGTAATAAATAACTTTGTTTGTTGTGTTTGGTCAGCAGTGCGCATACAGACCCAACCACGCTCCTACATGTAGAGGAGGGGCTGCAGGGGATGAAGAAGTCTTCAGACGGCCATATTTATGTTCCATAAATGAAACTGCAGTAAGTAACCACGTTTGGACATTTGTCAGGCTACAGACCAGCCAAAGATGGGTTCAGGACTGATATTGACACCCAACCAGGGCCAGTAGATGTCCAAAAATTGCCCCAAGAACATCCTCTTAGGCTCCAGCAAGGAGGACGGGGGGCAAGAAGTTGTCTTCAAACAAGCTCAGGTGCTGGGACTCTGCCTATATCTCCAAATACGAGCGTGCCATGCCCACCATACGGGCACCGTGGGTGACGTCACATGATCAGCTCTTCAGATTAAGTGTGTCAGCCATGGCCACCTGCGTCTAACCGATGGGGAGAATGAGGAACGTCTGCTGGTGGCCATGGCTGATCTACGAAGCTTGTCATCTGTGGGTACATTTTTGAGAGTTTGGCCTGCACACATGCATGGTTTACTCGGGATGTCTTACCCCTTTTTTCTTGGGGGAAGCTGAGTGGCAATTCTTGTGCTAAATATTAGACACCTGCTGGCTTGTCGGGTTGGGGGCTGAATGTGGTCCTTATCTTGCCTGTATTCGGCTCCTGGAGCACTATTCCCTGCCACTGACACCCTTGATGGAGTGCTATTCCCTCCGCTGATACCAACGATAGGGCACTATTCCTCCCACTGATACCAATGATGGGGCACTATTCCTCCCACTGACACCAATGATGGGGCACTATTCTTCCCACTGACACCAACGATGGGGCACTATTCCTCCCACTGATACCAACGGTGGGGCACTATTCCTCCCACTGACACCAATGATGGGGCACTATTCCCCCCACTGACACCAATGATGGGGCACTATTCCCCCCACTGACACCAATGATGGGGCACTATTCCCCCCACTGACACCAATGATGGGGCACTATTCTTCCCACTGACACCAACGATGAGGCACTATTCCTCCCACTGACACCAATGATGGGGCACTATTCCTCCCACTGACACCAATGATGGGGCACTATTCCTTCCACTGACACCAATGATGGGGCACTATTCCTCCCACTGACACCAATGATGGGGCACTATTCCTCCCACTGACACCAATGATGGAGCACTATTCCCTCCGCTGATACCAACAATAGGGCACTATTCCTCCCACTGATACCAATGATGGGGCACTATTCCTCCCACTGACACCAATGATGGGGCACTATTCCTCCCACTGATACCAATGATGGGGCACTATTACTCCCACTGACACCAATGATGGGGCACTATTCCTCCCACTGATACCAATGATGGGGCACTATTCCTCCCACTGACACCAATGATGGGGCACTATTCCTCCCGCTGATGGAATACTGTTCCTCCCACTGACACCAATGATGGAGCACTATTCCCTCTACTGACACCAATGATGGGGCACTATTCCTCCCACTGACACCAATGATGGGGCACTATTCCTCCCACTGACACCAATGATGGGGCACTATTCCTCCCACTAATAACAATGATACGCAATTGTGCCTTCACCTACAGCGACTGCATGTTGCATATGTGAAGGGGAAGACAGGCAGAGCCCCAGCCCCTTCTCTTGGTTGATTGGGACAACAATTCTTCTTGGGGGAGGTTAAACGACACTTCTTGGGCCTAATGTTGGACATCTACTGGGTCTGGTTGGGTGTCAATATCAAGTCTGAATCAATCTAATCTGCAGTCCGATAAATATCCAAATCATAATCTCCTTACGGATGCTTACTGAGGTTTTACTTACTAAGGCCGGTTGATGTTCACCATACCCCCTGCGGCCCCTCCCCCCCATGTGGTGATGCTTGGTTGAATGGTATGTTGCCAGTTGACCGAGCGCATTAACAAAAGTTATTTATTACCTCCAACTGGAAAGTTACAGGCTAACCCCGTACTTGTCGGTGATTTATGGATCACTTGGAAGTGCTCAAGACCACTGGAGGTCATTGTATTCTGAGATATAAAAGTGAAAATGATGTAATAGCATGCAATCCTTTTTTAGAATTTAAAAAAATAATTATCTGTTGTTTTTATATCTAATGCATTATATATCTCTTGAAAGTCCCGTGGAACTTCGGTATGTCTTAAAAAGTAGAGTTTGCCAGGTTCTTTTTTTGCAGTACCACACTGCATTGCCCTAAAAGTATAACAAAATGTCAAAACAGAGTGCACAAAAACACTTCAAAACCACAACCCCACATTCTATGAACCCCTTGACATCCCTGTATCCCCAATTAATCCACAAATATTTAAAAAAAATAGAATTCAGGCTTTTTTTTGGTAGAAATTGGCTAAAAACAAGATAGTATCAAATAGAAAGAGAAATGAGAGAGAGAGAATAGCTACAGTGGTGGGCAGTGTCTAAGCAGCTTGGTGAATTATTTGAGATACAATAGCCGCAAATAATGTACAGTGGCAGGCAGTATGTAAGCAGCTTGGTTAGGCTGCAACATAGGATGGATAGGCGAGGCACTTTTCATCGTGAAACAGAGATTAGAGTGAATTATTTAAACGACAATAGCCGCAAATATTGTACATTGGCAGGCAGTGTGTAAGCAGCTTTGAGAATTATTTGAGATACAATAGCCGCAAATAATGTACAGTGGCAGGCATTGTGTAAGCAGCTTGGTTAGGCTGCAACATAGGATGGATAGGCGAGGCACTTTTCATCGTGAAACAGAGATTAGAGTGAATTATTTGAGAGACAATAGCCGCAAATATTGTACAGTGGCGGGCAGTGTGTAAGCAGCTTGGAGAATTATTTGAGATACAATAGCCACAAATATTGTACAGTGGTGGGCAGTATGTAAGTAGCTTGGTTAGGCTGCAACATAGGATGGATAGGCGAGGCACTTTTCATCGTGAAACAGAGATTAGAGTGAATTATTTGAGAGACAATAGCCTCAAATAATGTACAGTGGCGGGCAGTGTGTAAGCAGCTTGGTTAGGCTGCAACAAAGGATGGATAGGCGAGGAACTTTTCATCGTGAAACAGAGAATAGAGTGAATTATTTGAGAGACAATAGCCTCAAATAATGTACAGTGGCGGGCA